AAATTCGCTTCAACAATCCGATCGATAGAATGAATAGCTCTTCACCAGCTTCCTAAATGTGGCAAAACCACTACAAATCAACTTTGTCCGGTTGTGCACATCGTTCAGTTTGTGAAACTGAAACATAAGCAGCCATGTCACGTGGGCAAAGAATGCTTCATGCAGAGAAAAAAGGAATGTATTTTACCGACTATTTACCATAAAGTTACAAGTATCGTAGCGGTAGAAACTGGACCATAATGATATTATACCAGGTATTCTTTCGGATGAATGGAGAAACCTGAAAGTGAGTGGAGTAGAATGGAGTAGGTCAGCAATGAACTGCAAAGTTTCTGAAACAGATGAAAAATGATCCACCAGCCACTACCGAGCAACACGAGAAGACTGAGACCAAAATGGTTGAAAATTCCCAAAACTGCGGTGCATCCAAGTTTTAAAAACTCGGGTGTCAGTTCGTCCTAGGTTAGATAAAGTATGGTACTACATGGAAAGTGGAAACACCATGGAGATCACGATGGGCCTATCTTTAGACTCATCGTTTCATTTTTCTAAGCGCGATCCTAGAATAAGTTCAGACGACCAGGGGTCAAACTCTAATGCTTACAGTAGAAGAGTTTCCCTGGCAGTTAAACCGCTGCGTTTCTACTTCCGGCTTATATTACCTTAGGGTCTTGGCAAGGGCAGCTGTAGGGTCAAATAACCACCCAAAATCAATAGCCCAGGTTTCGACAGGACTCAGCATTGATGCCAACCTTCATATTCTCAACAGACTAGCCAAGCTGAAGTCACATGCTCGAGCATCCATACGGTGTTACGTTACACTGCCTGCACGCTCTCCCCTATTCAGCTAGTCCAAACGAATCGGTATTCTGATGCGGCCTACGGAATATAATATTGCAGCCGACTACTCTGTCAAGTTCTTCCTTGGTCTTTCATCCGTCGGTGTGTGATAGGTATGGATAGTTAGGGAATGGCTTTTGTGTCCTTCAGGTTTCAGTAAAACTGATCATAAAGTTCCTTTTTACGTACGTCACATCAAACATTATGTTGCCTTAGGCGCCCGCAGATGAGCGTTCAATAAAGGTATTGTTGAGTCGAGCTTCAATGACATTCGATCAGTAGATGGAAGAATGGGATTCTCATTGTCGTGCTGGTTTTGCGTTACTGAAGCTGCTATCACTTGTTGAATATTCGTTAACTCATGCTTCCACAGCGGTTGCACTCCAAGCAATTGAACGATAATGCATGATCGCTAGATCTCAGGCAACTGATTGCAATAGTAGCCGAACAATTCACTGGCTTCACATTGGGACGTGCGAATTACTGAGCGCAAAATGCACCTAAATGAGTCACGTCCGCTTCAAAAAAGGAGCTTAGACTGAAGAACTATTATTGCTTTTTTCGCACAACTTCGCGTACCCTAGTTACCATCACCTTAAACTATGCGATAACGCCCCTCTCTGTGACGTCAGTGGAGTCCAGACACCAGCGTGGCCTGATTCCTCGATTGTTAAATTATAGCGTCACACACTTCTCCAGCATCAGTGCCTCGAAGTTCAACAATATCAAACATTGACGCTGACCTTGACGGCTTAACCGGACTCACTAAGTCAAAGGCACCTGGTCAAGAGCCTTTGCCATTTGGCAGCTGTCGTGCTATGTTGCACCGCTCGTAATCGACCCTCTAGGGAGTTAGTTGGAAGGCATACGCATCCTGGCACGACCTTGCAGATATCCTGTTCAACCGACTACGCTATCGTGTACTATCCTGGTTTTGTATTCGTGATCATGTAACAGGTTCGGATAATCAGTGGTTACCATCCGCGTATGTGAAGTTCACAGTAGGACAATTACCAAGGCATCACTGATCATTGCCTAAAACTCTCCGCATGCGTTGAATTCCTATAGCATTAATGAACCCGGTGTCCAAATGTCGTTGAATTTCGCTCAACCGGAAAAAATTAGGAATATTCAATGAAAGGAAGACATAATTTTGAGCAAGCTCCTTAAAAATATATACAGTGGTTTAACAAGTGAAACGTTATCAGCTTCCAAAAACAATTACTACTTCATCTACAGAAATAGTTTATTCACTTTGTTACACAATAATATTTCGTCTAAAAACTAATCTCCCGACAACTAGGCTGTTATGACTTCAGCCAAACTGTCAACCTTGCTTAAGTCCTTCGGGTCAATGGCTGATCGAGTTGTCTGAGGAAACTTGAGTCAATGGCAATTACAGTCACCTTAGTCATAAGCATTTCTAGGGCAGACAGGTAACTGAATTCCCCACAGAGTCCTGCAACTACTGCAATCAAAGGGTTTGGAAGCACTCCTTTGGAGTGAACTTCATCTGGTTATCGGAAAATAATATATAACTCCTGAAACTTCCAGGTGGAATGTGAGGGTTTTATCGAGACATGACTATTCTTCTATTGAATATGTACTATGCAACATCCCCAAAGAAGTGTTCATGCGTCCTAAAATCGAGGGTGGTGGAATGAGTGAACAGCCTCCCTCAGAAACGTGTCCTTCACTGGCGATCCTGACAGTAGAAACTTGAGTTGAACGTCATCACAAAAACCCAACAGATAAACCAAACATTTTACGAGTCATACATAATCTCCAAACAGTCTAGTGACCTTACATTATCATCCAACTGCCTGGACTGCAACCCTTGGGTGGAGATCAAACTAGTCTTTACCAACCAAACCCAGTTGCAGGACCAGAAAACTCATCAGTAAGTAAAAATGCTGCTTATCATTCCTCCAGCCAAAGAACACCTCGACAACTCGATGGGATGTCTTTTTTATGTAAACAAAAGCTACGTATAGCCATGCACTCTACACAACATATGATCACTGAGCAAACGCTTTGTCATACTGGTCCTAACAGTTAAGCTGAAAGCGAACATACCTACTAGATTGTTGCTTACCTTCAACAATCAACAGTCCTTACAGCTACTCGGCTTGCTCAAGTGACAGCTGATAGACTGAGCTGCGTTGCCGACCAATACACAGCCACTTTTGAATCACAAAGACTTACGAGCAAAATAGCTACCTTCATTCGTCATTCTTCCCACTTTATTCCTGTGATAATCAATGTCAGGTATCTGTACGAAACATCTGTGCCTTATGGACGGCGATCTGTGTGGATAAAGCATCGTTCACTTTCGTGGTAAATGAACGTGCTGTTCAAATGTGCCATTTCGCTGGAATGTTTTTTAACCACGCCACTGGCCACTATTGCTGGGCGGGAAGCGTCGCGACCGTTGTGACGTTTGAGGCTCTGCGTGTCGTTGAGCGGAGATCATTTTCGCACTTCCGTTCGATTATACCGACGCACTCAATCCTATCACATTTTAGTTGATGCGTTACGCGTTTATTTCACTGATAGCCATGTCCTCTAATTCTGCAGTTTTGAAGCCCTCTCAGCACGTTTGACCGAATCCATGGCGACTCCACTTCGTACCCAAAGACACATTGCTTCTGAGATGCGAGAGTTCAGTTTGGAGATACCCAACAATGGAAATATTCAGAGAAACCGACGGGATGTTATCCCTGAGGTACATGTTTGGCTAGATAAATGAAACTGATAATAACCTCGTGTTACTTGGCTGATTTCAGCTGACTTATTGACATATTCAGTTTCCGGGATATCGGTTGTGTGGTTAAATCTACCAATACGAATAATTTATGGGGATGTTGTTCAATCGGATAACTGGTCACAGCGGAGCTGGTTTCATTGAGTCTTCCAAAGATGAGATCCATTGTTAACTCTGGTCAGTGAACGCAAGATAGTTTTAATGCTTACCCTGGCACATAAGAACGAGCAACCTTTGGTGGACAACTCTGCCCTAAAAACGAGAGATGTAACTGCGCATCTGAGGTCTGATTGAAAGACAAATCCATCAACTAAGAAGGTTCAACCTCATCATTTCCCTGGTATGAAAATTTGAAGAATTTAGTTGGTTTCTTGACTGCAGTTCATTTGTTTTGGATGTGAAGTTAGGCGAATCAACGCACGTTTCACCGCTTCTGTAGTTGGGGTTTGTAAACTGTTAAGTGATCCAGATGATTGTTGGCAGAAGAGAGGAAACTGTAGCTGAGCTGGCTTCCGCACCCATACTCCAAGACTAATTTATTCCTGTGGCTATTGCTCTGTATAGATTTAGTGAGGGAATAAAAGCGACGGTTAAAATTCGAAAATTCAGTTGGCTGTCGACAAATCGCACTCAAATCTCAAAAAGTATCAAGACGTCATTTACAGGATTCAGATAAAGTAGCCTGAATCACTTCTGCAGGAAGAGCTTTTCAGGGTTCAACTACTCCTAGGGAATAGTTGCATCTGACACATAACCTGTTGTGTTCTAGGCCCAGTTTCTGCGTATGTCCTTTCTGAATGGTGCCAAGCTGAAACTTGGTAAGTAACACAGGGGTTTGTAGGTTTTTTCAAGATGTTGTTAGCTGATACGCAGTCCCCTCTTAATTTTAGATATTCAAAAAGTTATGGATCAAGCGCAACCATCCACTGTTCATGTATTTTAAACCCAAGTCCTTGAACAGATTTGGCTAGCAATCTCCGAATGCTTTCCGAGCCTAATTTGACCTTCTGAAGCTAGAGAGGTGGAGAAGACGGTAGTCCCAACTCCAAGTGAAGTTGTGACAGATTACTTATCTCACTGGTTCAAAGATAGGCTGGACACCCGTCTCCGTTTCTGTGGTTCAAAATGGCCCTTCTGATGATGCTTTTCGGTTGGATATGGAACCTAGGTCATATCGTTTTCATAATGGACAGCCCTGGGATATTTAATATTCTACCTCTGTCAGCTTTTTTGGGATCGAGTTAAGAACTGGACCGTTACTACACGTAGAAAGCCTACCAATATAAAAAAGAAAACAGCAGTTATCTCTTTAACCTCGGGCGTATAACCTAAAGAACTAACAGCCTTCATTTCTTCAGCGTGAAGTTTGAGGTTTATTACTCAAGGTTGGTTTGTAGGCTTGACCTTGACTACAAGCGTCATTATGAAATCTAGCCGCATACCCAGGTCGCGTGCGAATGTATGTTTCTAACTTTATAACACATGAATCACTAGAAACACGAGAAAAAGCATGTGACTGAAGAAGAAATTGAGTCTGAAAGTGACGATGGCTCGTAAGTTACTCATTTGTGTATTCATTATACCTAAACTACCTTTAGTGTTGTGTCCGGGACCGATTCCGATGCTTCAGTGCATGAGAGTGCTCACGAGAAAAAGGTGCGCTTAACAAAAAAAGCTATTCAGAAAGCTCTGGAAACAGGTAGGTTTTTGATTCTTTAATTTTTCAGTTGGTTCGGACGATGAAAAGTATGAAGCTCTTTCACTGCGACTTAAGGAAGAAGCACTGCAAGCTAAAGGGAAATTCCTGGCGAAAATTTCCCACCAGGTTAGTTCAGTCAAAGTCATCTTTATGCTTCAGATAAACGGTTTTGATCAAGGTAAAGTAGTACTCCTCAAGGGCCACAGAAAATCAGTTTCATGTGTGTGCATTTCTGAAGATGGGAAGTTTGCTTTTTCTGGAGGGAGAGACTCTTCAGTAATTAAATGTAAGGGTCGTGAAAGTATGAATAATTTTTTTCAGGGGATCTGGATACCTTGTCGAAAGTATGTGTCATGCCTGGAGGGAAACGTGGCACAAAATATGCTTATCACACTGGTCCAGTACTATCCATTGCAGTATCCAGTGACAACAGGTATTTGGTAAGTTAAAATTTATCTAGTATTTGAAGCGCCTGTGCAATAACGATTGTTGTTTATGTCAAGCTGTAAAGTTATTTTGTCGCTTTCACTTCATGGTGCGGGAGTCCGAAGTTAAATGTTGTTGCACCTACATCCAGCTGACGAGCCCCAAATAGGATGAAATGATTATTGTTGTGTACTTACGAGTGTAGCCATCATTCATCACTACGTATTTCAATAGAAAGTGGTATAACCCAGTCGTCCACTACAGGTCGTTTTATGCGCCAGACTACTTTCAAATCTTTTGGTTTCATAATAAAACCCAGGCGTCCACGCTGAAGTGAAATGGGCTTCCAATCAGGGACTTGATATTTGAGAGCGAGGTGTTAGTGAAATGCCATGTCTGCACAGTTAAGAGTGTGGGGTTGAGCGCAATAATATTAATTTCTCGCTCCAAGAATGTTAGTGAGAATTTGTTAGCCATAACTTTCCACGATCACACAGCTGTTTCTAAAATTTAACTGATAATTATTTCTTTTAGGCTTCTTCCAGCATGGATCACTCAGTTATAATCTGGGAGCCAGAACAGATGAAGGTATTTATGAAGCTTTTGCGTCACTCGGTGCCTGTTACTGTATGTATTATTTTCTTCATCCAATTCTCACTACAGGCTGTTAGTTTTAGGCATCATTCACACATGTTGTTCACAGCAGATTGCTCCGGTCGTGTTTGTGTCTGGAATATGCCTTTGAAAGAGGTCCTGCAGGATCAAGGGTAAGTCAGCGATGATTCTCTCCTAGCTAGTGTTAACTGCTCCACACTTTTTATATTCATCTTGTTAACTGATTCAGATACCGGTCTCACTAGTTTAGACAATTTCTTTGCTCAGGAGTGTGTCAACTCACTGTAAACCGCTTCTAAAGCACCATATACAATCTTAATGACTGGGCATTTATGGTGAATTATTTTGTTAGTAGTTCTACATTGGTTAGTGGTTGTGTATCGATGAGTTTGTCTTTGTGTAGCAAACCAATTAACTGTCAGCAAATTCCAGATGTTTTTGATATTCATTAATAGAATAATGTATATGTATTTAGAAGCATGACATGATTCATCCAGTTATCATTGATGACCATCCACTTAATACTGAGTTTATTTAGTTCCAAAAGAATATGCGTACTAAAGAGGGACTCACTATGATGTCTTTAGGCTTTTATTTAGTGACAAAATAGTTATTAATTTGATATACTCTTCCTCAAAGGCCGTCTGAGTATTAACTATACCTGTTATAACCTGTGGATTGCTAACTGATGTTTAGTTCATTAGCAAACTATTTAATGCAGTTGCAAACCTACTTTACTACTTCCTTATGCATACTCGTGCAGTAGGTAATGAGGCATACCTATTGTGTGAAGGCTAGTGATACTATCCTGCTGCCCAGAGCTCGCTAGATGGAGCTGGTCTGGGACTCGTTACTATTGCCTGATCATTTCCTTAAAGCACTGAGCCAGAGCTTCACAGTTGATGTGATGAACCAAGTGCCGTTCACTAAATCTGAAAAAAATTATCGAAGCACAAATAGTGTAAAGTCCAGCGCATGGAATCAGACCAAATTCACTTTTGTTGAGGTGTAGGGTTTGCGAAATGTCAGGTTATGTGGATAAAGGTATTTGGCAATGAGTATAGGTCAGACAAATGAAACAACATAAAACCTGTCAAGTGCATCAGTTCAAGTTGCAACTCCACAGCAGGATGCAAAGAGCAAGTGGATGGAAGAGGGGTGATGTTTAAGTAAACGGGAGTGTATGGGAAGAGCGATAAAAGATAAGTCACTTAGTGAAAATGTCCAAACTTCTGAAGATTCCAGATTGAGAATACATCAGCGCCACTGTAACTGACTTCAAATCCTACCACCAAAGGGTCTTCAACCATTGATTTCTGTTACCTCAAGGACTCAATCTAGTTAATCTACACCTCCCTACACGACTCGAAACAACATTCAGAGACTTCGACTGATGCACTGTCTTGGTCTGGTTACCGAGAGCCTTCTTCTAGCTCGGCCCTACGTCGACTAAAATTCCAAGCTGAGGTAGACAGCTACTCAGATGGTGAAGGTTCATAACCTTATCGACTGACTTGCTTTCCTTTCGTTGTGTGCTTCACTGAACCTTGACCTTGCTGAAATAGTGATTCCATAGTCCGTGAACAATGCTGCACTGGCACTTGGTGCAGAAACCTATTATCAATCTATGTCTCCTACTGTCAAGGGTCACATCTCCTAGTCATATGATACGACAAAGCGAATTGCAGAGCAGTATGCCCATCCTGTAGTAATCAGTCGGACATCCGATCGGTGTCTGAGATAGTGTAATTTGGCAAATGCTAGACGAGCCCTTCATATCCGAACTGAAATTCCTTCAACCATCAACCTGTTTAGGCTGATCCGACTCCCTAAATTACTATCGTAGTCAGTGCATTCTATCACCTCACTCTTTATCCTTGAAATGGGAGTAAGTGCAGACTAGTCTGCAATAATCACCTTACATTTGGCAGGTGCGGATCGCATACCAAACATACTCAGACTTCTGATCAGTGCGTTCAGAACACCCTGCATTTTGTCAGCTTCTTCGCTTACCAGGACAATATCTTATCCTTACTCCAAGTCAACCTTATTTTCTCCAAGCAGTAGGTTAGTCCGTCTCGAGTCAGAGGTAGCTAACGTTATCTCCGACTATGTATTTATAAGGAAGCTAAACAGAAACGGTGACAGTGGAGATTCCTGGTGCCCACCGTATTGTTGTCAATTTAGATGACAACTGTCCATGAAACCTTACACGACTGCCTGAGTTCGAATTTTAATTAGCATTGTATACTCGCTTGGTATTTCGTTCGCTGCCGAGAGCTGCCACAGCACGTTTTGATCGGCAGTGTCGAATGTCACCTGGGGACAAGATAAAGTCATAGCTGTACAGTTAAAAAAAATGTGATATGCTAGACGATGAAATATTTCAGTGATGCAGTAAAGGAAGGTTTTCAAGTTTGTATTGTAACAGGTTATACCCATTACTAATCAAATGTCTTGACAAACATTCTTTGGACGTAGAGTTCACGTTTCAAAATACTTTCATGGCTTCCACAGCTTGAAAGCATTCTTAGGTGATTCAGTAATATCATTTAAATCTTTGAAAAATGGTATGAACTCTTGGATAGAGAAGAAACTGGATGGTTACCTACGTTTCTCTATCAAGCTTACTGTAGCGAAGAATGAGATTCGTTTTCTAAAAAGCTGCATTCATGCATTAAAATATACAGTTGTGGCTTCAACAGCTCGAAAGGATTTTAGGTGCATGACTTTCATGAGGCTTACACGAACTTTATTAGTGATCCTGAAGTTGTTTCCTGAATTCACCAGGTGGTCAAAATCAGTCAACTTTCATAAGATCAAGCTGCTGGTAGCCTTTCTTCCCCCATTTATAACCCGGTTGGCAAATGCTTGAAAATGCGTATAAGAAGCGAACATTAAGTACGACCATCATGTCTCACTTCACCGGTTCAGGTTTTTTTTTAGATACACTGAGGTTAACAATGGAGGTAGTTTATCTTTTACGCATAGCCAGTCTTAGTTGAGTAGAAAAAGTCTGTCTGACCTTCACAGTGCAAGAAATCTTTCTCTATGACCATTCCGGGAGATTTCCTCCATGTCCTCTGATGAATCTGCACTTGGTTGTGAATTTGTGCAGAGAAGCTCTCTAGACATAGTACGAATGAAATGATTAGCTTCTATTATTTTGACACCCAGTATACCTGTTCTTATTTCAGTCAGGTATTGATAAGGAACACTGGTTAAGCAGCGAAAATGAAAGATGCTTTATCCACACAGATCGCCGTCCATAAGGCACAGATGTTTTCGTACAGATACCTGACATTGATTATCACAGGAATAAAGTGGGAAGAATGACGAATGAAGGTAGCTATTTTGCTCGTAAGTCTTTGTGATTCAAAAGTGGCTGTGTATTGGTCGGCAACGCAGCTCAGTCTATCAGCTGTCACTTGAGCAAGCCGAGTAGCTGTAAGGACTGTTGATTGTTGAAGGTAAGCAACAATCTAGTAGGTATGTTCGCTTTCAGCTTAACTGTTAGGACCAGTATGACAAAGCGTTTGCTCAGTGATCATATGTTGTGTAGAGTGCATGGCTATACGTAGCTTTTGTTTACATAAAAAGACATCCCATCGAGTTGTCGAGGTGTTCTTTGGCTGGAGGAATGATAAGCAGCATTTTTACTTACTGATGAGTTTTCTGGTCCTGCAACTGGGTTTGGTTGGTAAAGACTAGTTTGATCTCCACCCAAGGGTTGCAGTCCAGGCAGTTGGATGATAATGTAAGGTCACTAGACTGTTTGGAGATTATGTATGACTCGTAAAATGTTTGGTTTATCTGTTGGGTTTTTGTGATGACGTTCAACTCAAGTTTCTACTGTCAGGATCGCCAGTGAAGGACACGTTTCTGAGGGAGGCTGTTCACTCATTCCACCACCCTCGATTTTAGGACGCATGAACACTTCTTTGGGGATGTTGCATAGTACATATTCAATAGAAGAATAGTCATGTCTCGATAAAACCCTCACATTCCACCTGGAAGTTTCAGGAGTTATATATTATTTTCCGATAACCAGATGAAGTTCACTCCAAAGGAGTGCTTCCAAACCCTTTGATTGCAGTAGTTGCAGGACTCTGTGGGGAATTCAGTTACCTGTCTGCCCTAGAAATGCTTATGACTAAGGTGACTGTAATTGCCATTGACTCAAGTTTCCTCAGACAACTCGATCAGCCATTGACCCGAAGGACTTAAGCAAGGTTGACAGTTTGGCTGAAGTCATAACAGCCTAGTTGTCGGGAGATTAGTTTTTAGACGAAATATTATTGTGTAACAAAGTGAATAAACTATTTCTGTAGATGAAGTAGTAATTGTTTTTGGAAGCTGATAACCTCTTGCATTGTGAACACGGTGTTACTTTTTAGGTAAGATATGCCGGGATGGTATGTGCTGAATCGGCGAATCAGTAAGAAATAAAAGCTCACAGTTGGTGGATGCTATGATGTTATGTTTTTCTCTACCATGTGGTCAATTTAAGACATGACGTCAATGTTATTCATGAAGTTCATGCAAGTCCTTTTAAAGACATGCACCTGAAAGACTGACAAGCTGTGGAAGTTGTGACATTGTGTTGTGAGGCGTTAACTGTGCGTTCAGAGGATTTTTGCCAAGTCATTTGATTTGTAGTGGTCGTAACATGCTATAGCAAGTGCTCGAACCATCTTTTTTCCCATTCCGTCACCAAAGTGTCATATATTGTCTAGCCTGTCACAATTCTGGTAACCCTACAGTTGTGATTTTGGGTTTTTAGGGCCATTTTAATGTCTTTGAACATGTTATATGATTCTTACGTCTAAATTATGTTTTGGGTTTGCATGAGCTCTTGGTTCCCTTTACTTTCTTTGAGAGATGTATGGTAATGGAACAGCTTGTGCTCTTTAAAAATTGACGGCAAACCATTTCATTTGCATACTTCTCTCTCTGTCGACTTTGTCTTTTTTTACAATTTAGGGCAAGAACGAACATTGAAGTACTGGGACTATGTGGTCTTATATCTGAACGGTGTGTTTCATGTACTGGATTCGGTGGTCCTGGAGTCTGTGTGTGGAAAATTCCCGAAGAGATTTGCGTTCAATACAGTACAAAAAATGCACTAGAGTTAGTTTTCATTTTAATTACTATCGTCATCGTGTGTGTATGAACAAATTCAACTTTTCCCACACTCAAAATCCATGTTTCATATTCAATTACAGGAGCTCAGTGGAGTGCATTTATGCAGTTAATGATCAGATTTTCATTGGTGGATCTGCAACTAAGTAAGTTACATCGCACTATCAAATTTTCGTCCTACAAAATTATTTGTTCGAATTCATGTGAATATTTTTTCTTCATTTTAGTACTCTTTACATCTGGCATTCAAGCAGAGGTAGTCCTGTGTTCACCGTCTCACCTGCACATCCTGTGGCTAAACTGTGTCCTCCGTCACCATCTGAACCTTTCAGCAGACCTGTTGCAAACTGGGTATCGGCAGTTACGGGTTTATATGGGACCGACCTAATCGCTTCAGGTTCTTCCACTGGTCACATACAGTTTTGGCGATTAATTCAGCCACAATCGGAGCATTCAAATGAAGGTAGAGTACAACAGCAACTCCGCACACAAGTTAGCATTGAACGTCTACCGGGTTTGAGTATCTCGATGGTATGTTTCGTGCTATATCATTTTACTGTGTCAAGTTCTGATGTATTCTTGTTTGATCGATTGGTAAATGACTTATGATTGTCAAGAAGCACAAAACCGCAGTCCCAAGCTTTTTGTTGAACGCATCCAGGTATATGACACTAAATCTAGTCCAATGAGTTATCAGTTCACTTAGCTTAATATTCAAATTAATAATTTTGATTACAAAGCTCTACTACTAAAGAATGAGAAGAAACGAAAGCCATTCAGTAACCTCGTCCACATTCGTGCTGTGGGCAATGAACTAAACCCTTTATTTGTAGCACAATGATACTTATTATCTGGCTACCCAGACCTCGATAGGTGAAACTAGGTTTACACCCATTGCCTATCGGTTGAAAGGTCGCCGATACGAAAGGAGTCGGTGTTTAAGGACACTTGGTAACATGGCTGAAAATCGGTCACAACGACGTCTTTTAAAGCTCGAATATTTGCATCATCCCTTATCTTCAGATTATTAGTTCGCCGATACAACTTTATCTATTTTGATATCACTTTTTCTGTTCATCGGTTCCTTCCGTACTAATATGAAATGTTGCAGCTTCAGTCAGTGCAGTGCGTCTGTGCGAGGTTCTACTTTGATTTTGTCAGTCGTTCAGCTGTACTACTTTGCCAACGAAGCCAATCATGGCGTAGTGATTTACACTATAACTGCAATTCCCTTTTGTCTTTCTATCCAATAGACGTTTCTGATATGACGGAGCTCCGAGGATTAGATGTTTCCGGCAGCATATTTTGTTGGTTTATTGTGATAAGCAGGTTCAGGCATTAAGTCTAGTTTATATATATGGTGTTTATGACGGATAACTGTAGTTCATATCAAATAGGTTTCTGAGTGAGATTTTTTGTTAGCTTACCTCGTGTGTACGTAGTGCTGTTAACCTCAGTTAAACTTTCGGATAACATCTCCATCCATTTATAGCATTTTTGCTCGGACACTTACCTCCTGTATCTATCTGATATATATTTATGCAGATCTGATTTTAGACTCTAAAGGTTAGTATCCTATCAGTTTGACGTGTCAACGGTTGCTCCACAAGTAGTCCGTAAGAAAAATTGAGTGAAGTTGAATTGACTGTAAGGAAACTGAAGTACGTGAAAGTAACCGGTCGTGAACTATTTCTGTGAACAGCTGACACCGATGAATAGCAATCAAACTCTAAAACGGTAGTTATCGTGGTTAGATGTACATTCCGTTATGATGCAAATACATTTACTCTAATACACTCGACTCTTAATGTCCCAGTTTGTTTCGCTTGGTAAATGAACGTGGATATGGTGATAGAATATTGACGATTAATAATGTCATTTTTATAATGGTTAGTCTGCTCTCAGCATATTCTGGATGTTGTGGATCTGTAGCTTGTCGGTCAACATACTAGGCTTCCAACCAGTAGGTAACTGGTTTGAGTCGCAAAATACCTACCGAGGTTTGAGCAGCTAAATAGTCGTAAGACCTTATAATAAGTATGGCTGACTGCCTACTACACAAAGATGTATATGATCGCATTTTGATTTTTGATATTCGAGACGTCACGTCTTGATATGATGAGGAGTATCTGGAGCTCAGGATATAAATGTTGAGGTAGAAGTGTTTTCAGAATGTTCGAAAGTTCCACTTCAATAAATACTGACTCTAAGGTAACTTCTACTTCAACATAATAACTTTTCCGGCTACTACTATCGTTACCACAGCAGATAAAGCTCCTAATTTCTAATGGTCGTTGGCGCTCCATATTACGTTTTATTCTGAAAGTCAATACGTGCTAAGGTGGTTAATAAACGTAGATGTACTAGCACGTCTGGTGATTGAATTTGGGAAAATGTGGTTGATTTCAAGCTATTTTTCATTGCGTGTTGGTATCAACTGGAGAACTGTGGAAAACATAGGGAGTGAGCGGGCTGAACAGATGTTCTCATCCAGTTCGGAACTCAGAGGATTTTAGACACTGGTCCAACTTTGCTACCTATTGATAGAAGTGAGGAAATATGAACCACTGGGTTCTGATGCAGTGGGTAAATGGTAATGTGCTTCTTGCGGGCCCTGACGTTCCTGGGTTCAGTTCTTCACGGAATCATGGGTACTTAGGAGTCTCACTCCAGTGCTCCCATATTCTTAGTAGCTCTGCAGGTGATACCATTTCACGATAAATTATGTTGAATTCAATCAATCTCCATGAGTCACTAACCGATTTACTGTCCAAAGCTTATTGACTTGTTTCAAGATGAATTTACCAAAGTTCTATTGAGAAACTGTAGCCTGTTAGGTCAACCAAGTGGTGAAAATTATCTACCGAGAGCGAAGTTGTACTGCTGGCTTGCTAGACGGCGCGACAGTAGTAAGGTGTTTTCCTTGCAGGGTCAACAGTATCACGCTGGTGCTGCCTTCCCTACAGAAGGAGGGTCGGAAAAGATCGGCTCGAAAAATAGCACACTCCTTTCTACCCCACGTTCTTCCGGTACGGGGGATATAGATTTTCTCTATCCGTTGTTAGAACAAGCAATTCTTATAACAATAACCCTCAAAAGGTTGTGACTGGCGATCCTCGAGCACATATCCTCTTGGCTCTCTGGTCACAAATCGTTTTCTCTTCCATATAGCCTTCCATGCTGTGGGTAGCCGAGTAGTGTCAACCACCTGCACGCTTTCAGGGGTGTCACACTCGGTTTGTCAGGTTCAGTTATAGATCTGATGATCCATGCATTATTGTTTGCATGAATTTTCACTTTATTATTTCATTGGATGATTTGTGAATTTCAAGGAAATATCAATCTCCTGAATTGATACTCTTTCTGTTTTTTTTGTTGTTGTGGAACATTTGTAGAGCGCAGTTGTGACTAACATATATAGTTCAACATTGATGTACACTATTCGCATAATTATTGAACTTTCAGGCAATGAATCTCGGACTTGAGCGTCACTGCACTTTTTTGCCCTGAATAATCAGCGAGTTGCCATAAACCTCTACACAATTTTTCAGTTGCTTCGTGGATGAAGTGTCATATTGGACATCAGCTTCAATACACCTGTGCATAGATGAATTTGGCATTCAGTTAGGGTTTATGGTGTTAAAGGTGAAACTATATACCACTATATACCACACTGGCTGTTGTTAACATAAACTTGAGGTTATGTAGGCAATATCCTTTTCATTTTTAATTGAAACGTGAATCATGGTATCAGTTTTTATTTATGAAGAAAGTACGTAGTTATGAAATTTTCTTTGTTTTTTTCGTATGCATTCCCAGGGTGGTTTTATCAATGGTTTGGCTTTCACTTCTGATCGTCGATACCTGGTTGTTTGTTTAGGCCAAGAGCATCGTCTTGGTCACTGGGAGCCAAGGCGACATGTCACAGATGGCCTATATTTAATACCTCTGGGGATATCTTAGTAGGTTGATCGTGTATTCTGCAATTCAATAAACTTGGCCATCTTGAGATATTTTTGAAAATATTTTATGTTCATCCAAATTGAGTATTGAAGGGGCTTGTTTGAGCATGAATAATAACAGACTTTCTATTTCTTTTCACTGTAGATCAAGATGTCGTGATGTTTAATTTAATTAACGGATATTGTATATTACTGAAATAAATTGTATAACTGACCTTAAATGTTCTCATAATTCCTCGTCTGTGTATGTACTATGGGATACTGTTTGATCACTTACTTGTCTGACTGAGAGAACGCTGTGTTTAATACAGCTTTCAACGTTGTTTTAAAAAATCATTCACTTGATATTGGAACCTGATATCTCAAATGTAGAAATCAGTGGTTGAGAAATCTTGGTGACATAGCTGATGGTGCAGATGTATTCACTCCTTGACGTCTTCTAAAGCCTGGGTGCTCGCACTGACATTTATTTTTGAATTATTTATCAAAACTTCATCTTCTTTTATATCACTCTTATTCTATCCACCTATCTTTGCATACTACTGTAAAGTGTGGCAACTTAAGCCACTGGACCTGTGTGCGAGGTTCTGTGTTGATTTTGTCTGTTGTATCTCAAATGTTGATTTTTGAATCATCTGATACGTGTATTGCAAAACCAGTCGAAGTACTTCATATCATGTTTCATCTGAATAAGACCTAATTAACGCGTAAACTGAGATGTCTTTCCTCTCCTCCTTTAGTTTGGTTTCAATAATTGAATACTTTACAACATGATGAGAAAATTTAGCACTTATAACTGTTAGTTTTGTGTTACGTTTTTTTGACTATTAATAATCTCCAACAACTTATGTCAGTCAGTCAGCATCGAAATTAGACTCCTTATCGTTGTCTAATAAACCGAATTTCCGTACTTCAGCACATCAGGATACACGACAGCAAAGCAAAGTACAGAGAAAGACAAACAATCTAAAGTAGAATCTGGCACAATGTAGACTGCAGCACAGTATACCCTTTTTAAAATACATAGTGAGACATCTTATCTGCAGATTTGAAACGCACGCCAAATACTCCTGTTTCTGCTTAAGACACTTCAAAGACAGTATTCTGTCATCGTCTTTGTGTAACAGGAGAATGTCAACTGCGTACTCCTAGTTAACCAGGCACCCTCCTGGAAGTAAGTCAATGTCTGAAAAATCCGAGTTTCTAGCGTTATATCTATAAGCCCGTTTGCGATGAACAGAAACGATTACATTAGATATCCCTGGGAATCCTCATTGGTTATTGTCACTTCAAACGAGAACTCGGCAAAAGCCTCTCTATCTAAATCAGCTGGAAGTGGGCGTAATATTATCGAAAGCCGTTGAAAGAATAAAGGATCAAGCAAATAACTAAGTGTGATGTAATGGTTACAATGAAAATGAGGCGTGGGTGCATTTGCACTATTGCTGTCGGTGTTAGGCGATATCCTCTAGAGTCTTTAACTGTGGAATTCATTTGTCCAGTAGTTCCAACAACCTGACTTTGATAAAATTAACTGCTATATTTATACTACAATTGGTGCATCAACCCTTGTGTATAACTGTGGAAGACTTAGTTTGAATGGGTGTATAACACTTTATCATAACCTTAAAAACGTAATCATATTTTCGGGTGGCCTTTAATTATCTGTTATATTCCTTCTGGCTTTGTCATTGACTGCTAATCTAATTTTCTCAATTCATGTTTTTGCTACTCACTTTGCCGGTTTGAGCGTTGTCGTCTGCTACCAACTATGGATCCTTTGGTGTTTATTTCCCTTATATGTATTATTCACTACAGTATATTGAAAGTTTTCATTTAGACATTTACTTAGTACTGTTTTGTTGTTTGTCCTCTGTTGACTCGTGAATAACTCTGCGTGAGAAAATTGTGAGATGGGATCTCCAAGACAGTAGTTTGTTCAGCACACAATTGAATCAGAATAATTATAAACAAGCTTAATAGATAACTGTTCATTAGCTTCATAGACGTTCCGGCTTCCACTTGTCTGAGCTTAAGTAAGTAGGCCAGTTGTTTTTTAAAGATCAATTGGTTTCAGAGTAGTTTTCACAGATTGAAATCAGTGGAATAACCATTAAAACCCAGGGAACACTGGACACCTAATTCTTCCCAGTTGGTGACTCTTTAGTTATCAGTATAGTAAACTAATCATAGTGTTTCCAAACTCATTCTGCTCATTAGTTTACTAATCTTATCCATAGCTAACTCGATGACTTTCTGTGTGACATGTAATTTACACAAATAATCTGTCAAATATTGTTGCCTTGTTGGTAGAAGACTGTCTGGATTCACCTTTGGAGGTGAAGCTTTGTAAGTAGTCGCAAATTCCTTGTATCTGGTTAGTTGTGTGAATACGGTTGAATGTCGAAGTCGAAATCCACTCAACAACTTTGTGCACATTCGAGCTACATTTTGTGTGAGGACTAATGATACTACTACCTGGCTGTCTAAACCTCATTAGGTGGGATGGGGATTCAAACGCGTGGTCCATTGGTCGAAAAGTAAACTACCTAATCCAAGTAGCGACTGCTGGATATGTCACGTATTGGATTTGTAATTGCCTATCAAAAGCTGGAACAGTATACGTCAGTATGGATCACCTTCAGGCTATTTTATCGTTAGCGTGAGTGTTCAACCCTGCAACGCCTCAGGAGGACTGTTCACATTCATTTGGAACATTATGTGGGAAGTTCTGGAGTGCCTTGGCCTGTCTTTGCTTATGAAGTAAGTTGTCACCTTGAAATATGAGCTTCCACATAGATATGTGTTCATTACTCGTCCGTAGTGTCTTCCATATGGTTAACTGTTTGTCGGTTAGTTGGAGGAAATGAAGAGTTGGTCGGCGTCTGATTCCCTCCTGTAGGATAGTTGTTGCTATCTGTTTATACTTCATCAGCATCCTAATTGAAGCCTGAATCACGCTACTGGGGATATCATTAAATGTGGCGCGAGATCGAAGACAGTGGTGATCATTCTGAAGTGCTATGAACTCTCAGTTTCGAATGTGAAAGCAAATGAATGATCTAGTAAAGATATTGTTTTTTGACATCACCTTAATTATTTTGAATGCGGTAAAAACTGCCATCATATATTTTGTGAATGTTTATTTAGTCCTCTTAGACAAGCTCTTATCCAAAGCTCCTTTATGTCGGATTGAAAGGAAGCTGTAAAAACTTACGTGTAGTCATATCCAATTCAATTTCCTACAAACTTGTCCTCTTACAAGTCCATTCTCCCTTCAGATGGATAGTATGTCCAATAATGTGGGGGATGTGACTCATTGGTTTACAAAGTTGACTTCCAACCTATGCGTCAAGGGTTCGAACACCGTCTTGCCCACCGAGGTTTAGGCGGCCAAACATCATTAGCCAGCCGTCATGCAATAAGTATGGCTTATTTCCTACTGCGTGAATACCCACAAGGTCACTGAGTGCGACACCTGAACCAGCTGTGTGACATTAGATATAAGTCCGAGCGGTTACGTTGGTAGGCGAAGAAATTATACAACAAAAATGAAAAGTGACTGAGATAGATCATTGTATTAACAACAAACGGAGTAATGAAACAGTTGGTATTGATGCGGACGGTAACAAACATAAAAGTGTTGAAATATCTTGACAAAGGCATAAAGATGAAAGGTCACGAATCACTAGAACAATAAAAAATTAGTTACTGTCTCTTTATACACGACTTAGACCAATCTCGTCTTGTGGTGACGGCTTGATTCTTCTGTATTCGCGGAACAATTCCAGCAGACAGTCATATCTGTGTTCTGTCTAAGTACTGGCCTCAGCATGTTAATGGGGTAAATGCGTTTGAAGTTAACGAAAGGCTGAAAATATTTTGTAGACCGTTTATGCGCAACAGTAATAGTTCTAATGTGAATACAAAAGTGTAGGTAGGTATCAATTCTGTTGGACAAGAATATAATAAATCTTAGCCTAAGCGATAGACGACAACAAAATACACGACAACAACACGTAGAGCAAAGTATGCGTCACAGAATTTGAAAAGATGTAGTTAATTGTGGTTTTCTATGTCCAATATATATCAGCAAAATTATTTTCAATATAAGTGAAGTATTGGTACTGGATATTTAAATAAAGTCACATACAGCAGACAACAACTAGTCTCGTTTGGATAGTATGAATGAATGCACTAAGATAGGGTCGTTCTCTTCGCAGTATCATCCCGTTAGTACAAAGTAGTGGGAATAGGCGGCATGATAAGCTTTAGGTAATATGTATGACACAAGTGAACGACAATAAAAACGAATGGGTTTTTACCAAGTGTAGAGGTTGCAAAAAATAAGTGGAGTAACACAAACCTACTCAAAGTAAAAATAATTAGTTCCCAGCAGTGGGTGAGGGTCGATGAAACTGTCTACTAACCACACTACTAACAGACTGTCTCTAATTTAGATGAAAATTTCTTTACCTCGGTCCTTTTTAGTAGATGAGTATCTGTCTCATTTCACTTGGTATTCTTGTTTCAGTTCTAATTCCCTAATCCACATATTACTAGATAACGTATACGCGGTTTGTGAGATAGCAGTTCAGTCATTTTATTCCCTTTATTAGGGCCTTGTTTGGTTACTAGTTAGGTTAATAGTATCGACTCACGATCAAAGCATCAGTTTAATATGCATCGTCCTAGTTCTGACGATATTCTTATCGTCATCAGTGTTTCAATTTTCCAAATATCTCCATAGGCGTAAAAATGGACGATTCCTTTTATTGTGAAGTCATTGAGACTATTGTACTATTTCCCGTGAAGTGATAAAATTCATGCGATTTGTTCTTGGATGTTTCATCATCAGTCTAGGAAACCATCAACATTGACTTGAATAAGAAGTGAAGCATTTTGAAGTTGCTTGAATGCTTATGAAGGATATTTGTCAGCCATGAGCGTTATCAACTTATGGGTAGGGGGGACCTTTGCCTTTTTATCAGAGGTTGAGATTTATAATTGTTGACCTATACTGTTGAGCCAATCTCCGACTATTGATAGGTTCCCAGTCATCCAGTCCCTTCTTAGTTGTCTGTGTATTCGGTCAGTGCCTACGTGTCTGTTGATTACTATTCAACTAGAGTACCATTCTCGCAGGAATACACTTTCAGCTTGCTTGCTGTAGTGCTTCCACGCTGTCCCATTTGAAATTATAGTACTGGTCGTCTGTAGACATCGATATCCATGATGGTATAATGATAATTTATTTTATTTAGAGGACATGGTAACA